GTGCCGCCCGCATTCCGCGGCGGCCGCGCTGGCTCCGTCCCAGCGGGCATCGGCCCGGCCGCGGCTGCCGCTCCCCGACGGGCCCCCGCACCCGCAGGCTGTCACGGGTGGGTGTCGGGGTGGGTGTCACGGGTGGGCGGCGGCCGGCGCGGCTCTCCACGGCGCGCGGTTGGACCGTGAGTCACGGCAGGACGAGGCCGCGGCCCCGCGTCCTTTGGACTCCGCGCTGGGGACGGGCAGAACGGGGGTGCAGGCATGGATGTTGGGGTGCAGGCATGGATATTGGGGTGCAGACATGGATGTTGGGGTGCAGACGTGGATGTTGGGGTGCAGGCATGGAGGTGTTGGGGTGCAGACATTGATGTTGTGGCGCAGACATGAATATTGGGGTGCAGACATGGATGTTGGGGTGCAGACGTGGATATTGGAGTGCAGACATGGATGTTGGGGCGCAGACATGAATATTGGGGTGTAGATATGTGGTGCAGAGTAGTGCAGACATGGATGTTGGGGCGCAACTGATGTTGGGGTGCAGACATGGATGTTGGGGTGCAGACGTGGATATTGGAGTGCAGACATGGCTGTTGGGGCGCAGACATGAATATTGGGGTGCAGATATGGATGTTGGGGTGCAGACATGGATGCTGGGATGCAGACATGGATATTGGGGTGCAGATATGGATATTGGGGTGCAGACACTGATGTTGGGGTGCAGACATGGATGTTGGGGTGCAGACGTGGATGTTGGGGCGCAGACATGGATATTGGAGTGAAGATATGGAGGTTGGGGGGCAGACATGAATATTGGGGCACAGACATGGATATTGGGGCGCAGACATGGATGTTGGGGCGCAGACATGGATATTGGAGTGAAGATATGGAGGTTGGGGGGCAGACATGAATATTGGGGCACAGACATGGATATTGGGGCGCAGACATGGATGTTGGGGCGCAGACATGGATATTGGAGTGAAGATATGGAGGTTGGGGGGCAGACATGAATATTGGGGCACAGACATGGATATTGGGGCGCAGACATGGATGTTGGGGCGCAGACATGGATATTGGAGTGAAGATATGGAGGTTGGGGGGCAGACATGAATATTGGGGCACAGACATGGATATTGGGGCGCAGACATGGATGTTGGGGCGCAGACATGGATATTGGAGTGAAGATATGGAGGTTGGGGGGCAGACATGAATATTGGGGCACAGACATGGATATTGGGGCGCAGACATGGATGTTGGGGCGCAGACATGGATATTGGAGTGAAGATATGGAGGTTGGGGTATTGGGGCACAGATATGGATATTGGGACGCAGACATGGATATTGGGGCACAGACGTGGATATTGGGACGCAGACATGAATATTGGGGCACAGACATGAATATTGGGGCACAGACATGAATATTGGGGCACAGACATGGATGTTGGGGCGCAGACATGGATATTGGAGTGAAGATATGGAGGTTGGGATGCAGATATGGATATTGGGGCGCAGACATGGATATTGGGGCACAGACATGGATGTTGGGGCGCAGACATGGATATTGGGGCGCAGACATGGATGTTGGGGCACAGACATGAATATTGGGGCACAGACATGGATGTTGGGGCGCAGACATGAATATTGGGGCACAGACATGGATATTGGGATGCAGACATGGGTTTTGGGGCACAGGAAGTGGGCCTTACGCCGCTGACGTGTGTGTTGGGGTGCAGACCTGGGCACTGGGGTGTTGGCTATGCCAGGCTGGCAGCGCCCAGGGCACCCGCAGCTGCACTTTCCCCGGCAGCTGCCACCACCCCTGCCCTGGGTGACGTGGGTGACGTGGGTGACGTTGGTGACACGGGTGCTGCGATGGGCAGGACTGGCAGCTCCGTGTCACCCCAAGGGGCTGGCGATTCCCAGCCCGTGCCAGCCACCCTGGGGGTCCCAGGGCAGGGACATCCCGGGGGGGTGCAGCACCCAGTGGGGCACAAACCCTGAATTTACCCTGCTGTCCCCTCAGCTGGCCTTGTCACCCACTGGGAGGTGAATCCCTGGGGAGGGGGGATTCCCACACTGCTGCCAATGCCCCCAGCCGCTGTGAGAGCCCCCGTGGGTGCTGTGGGGCACAGGGCAGGGTGTGGGGTGCTGCCCTGGGGTGCCTTTCAGGAGCAGAGCTGCTGGTGGGGCTGGTGTGTGCATGGGGGCACCGGGGGGAGTCTATGGGGCTCAGTCCCCCATCCTGGGGGTCCTGCAGCCCAGGGGGTTGTGACCCTGAACCCCTCAAGAGGATCTGAGCCCCTCAAATGTGGGACCTGGGGCTGGTGAACCCGGGGGCTTGAGCTCCACCTTGAGACCCGGGTGGGGGGAGCAGGGGTCCTACAGCTCCAGGGCTTGTACTGGGGGTTCTGGGGTGGTCCCTGGGCTGTGGGACCGGGTGGTGCCAAAACCCCCACAGGGACTGAAGGTCCCAGATGGGGTCTGGGGTGTTGGGGAGCTCCTGACCATGGGGAGGAGGGGTTCTGGGGACCCTCTGTGAGGGGCAAGGAGGGTCTTGACCTGGAAACCTGGGGGTCCTGAGCCCCCGGAGCTTGGAAAGCTGGTGGTGCTGAGGGGTGGTGACTGGGGGTCCAACAGCCCCAGGCTGTGGGTCCCATTCCCCCCAGACTTGTGGTCCTGAGGGTTCCAAGCCCCCGAGGTGTGGGGCAGGGGGTCTGGCCGCCCTGGGTGAGGGGTGAAGGGTTTCTGAGCACCCCAATCTTCAGGAACGAGGGTCCCACTCCCCGCGCTTGCAGATCCGGGGGTCGCGGGCCCCGTCTGTGGGGCTGGGCGTGCCGCTTCCCCGTGGAGCTTCCCGAGGCTGCTCCGTGGGTCCGTGTCCCACCCCGCCTGCAGGCGCAGGGAGGGAAAGGGTTAAAGCTCAGGAGTTTCCTGTGGGCAGGGTCGGGGCGTGGGGCGTGGGGCGGGGGGAGAGAGAGCCCCGTCTCCTCCCGGGGCCGCCCCACTCGCGGCGGGACCGGCGGCGGAGCGGGAGGGGAGAGCGGCAGTGTCGGGGCTCTCAGCATGTCCCGGCCGCGGCGCAGCTCGGAGGAGGCTCCGGCCGTGGCCGCCCGAACGGGCTCCGAGGACAACCTGTACCTGGCCGTGCTGCGGGCGGCCGAGGGCCGCAAAGGTACCGGCCGGGGGGGCTAGGGGGTCGCCCACCATCGCATCCCCACCTGGGGTGGTGCCCCCCGGGCAGGCTGCGGGGCAGACCCCCCCCACACACACCGGGGACACCCCCAGGCTGAGCCCGTGTCCCCGCGGCTGTGGGGCCACCCCCACGGCAGGGCGGTGTTCCCCAGGGCGGGCTGTGGGGCAGACCCCCACGCCGGGCGGTGTCTCCGGCCGGGTTGTGGTGCAGACCCCCACGCTGGGGCGGTGTCTGCGGGGCGGGCTGTGGTGCAGACCCCCTCGCCGCCGCCCAGCTCCATCCCCGGTGCCCTCGGTCGCTTCCTGCCACGCCCTGCCTGCCCGGCCCGGCCCGGCTCGGCTCGGCTCGGCTCTCCTTGCTGGGTGGGCGTCGCTCCGGAGACCCCTTGGGTGTCAATGTTGTGGGCGCGGGTGTCGGGCTGTGGTGTCGGTGCCCCCCGCTCGGCGCGCACTGTGCCCCACGTTTCCTTCCTTCCTTCCTTCCTTCCTCTCGTACCGTGGCCGCTCCTGGCCGGGCACGCCCTGGCTGTGCCGCTGAGCGCCCGCGGGGCGCTTGGGGCTGAGCAGCACCCCGGGGTGCTCCGCCGGCTGTGGGGCGCTGGGTGCCGCGTGGGCAGATCCCGGCACGCTCCGGCGGGGCAAGACCCGGCACGCAGCGCCCGGCGAGGGCAGGGGGGCGGTGCGGCTGCCGAGGCACGGCTGGCATCGCCCCGTGTCAACGGGGGCGTCACGTCTGGCCTCCGACCCCTCTTGGGCATCAGGCTGCGTGTGGCACTGGTGGTGGCACTGGGGACGCAGGGGGACAGGAGAGCTGGTGCTGGCGGTGGGGCACGGGGTGCTGGGGGGTTAGCGGGGTGCTGGGGGTTAGTGGGGTGCTGGTGGGGGTATCGGGGTGCTGAGGGGTTGGCAGGGTGCTGAGGGGTTTAGCGGGGTGCTGAGGGGTTATTGGGGTGCTGAGGGATTAGTGGGGTGCTGGGGATTAGCGGGGTGCTGGTGGCGGTATCGGGGTGCTGAGGGGTTATTGGGGTGCTGGGGGGGTTAGCGAGTGCTGGGGGTGGGTCCCGTGCCATCCCGGGTTCCCATCCCAATGCGTCACCATTCCCATGGCATCCCCTAATGACAGGGCAGCGGGCAGGGAGCGCCGTGACTCACCGCAGCCCTGCTTGGCCCTGTGCCCACAGAGAAGGGTGTCCTGCGGGTGTGGGGGTGTCCTGGGGTGTCCCACGGCTCTGGCAGTGCAGACGGTGCGTGGGCTCATCTCAGTCCCATACCTGTCCCACCAGGACCCTGCCTGCGGGGCTGGAACTGTGCCAGGGTCGTGCCAGGACAAGCACCCCGTGGCCTCGTCCCTGTACCGTGCCCAAACCGTGCCCACTGAGCCCAGGGCAGGGCTGGGGCTCCTCTCAGCAGTGCCACAGGACTCGGGGCTGGGTGGGCACCTCCTGCTGCCAGCAGGCACAGGGGCACGGGATATTCTGAGTTGCAAGGAGTCCCGCAAGGATCACCAAGTCCAACTCTTAATTTGCCCGTGCTGGGCTTGAACTGCAACCTTGGCGTTATTAGCACCCCGCTCTGGCCAACTGATCTAATCTCGGCGCTCGCTGGTGGGTGCTGGCATGGCGCTGGCACGCCGGGGCCGATCCCCGTTAGCTCTTTCCTCTCCCCACGCCCCCGTGACTCACCGTGGTTCCCCGGAGCGGTTGGCTCATCGTTTCCTGCGCCAGCCGTGCCCTGCGGTGCCGCCGGCGGGGCCTGGTTTTTTTGCTGTGCCAGGACCCTGGTAACAGCGGCTCACCTGTCCCTCTCCTCTCTTGCAGATGAGCGAGATCGTGTCCAGAAGAAAACCTTCACCAAATGGGTCAACAAGCACCTTATCAAGGTATGGGCACTGCCAGTCCAGCGGGCACCGCTGCCCCAGCAGTCCCCTGCCCCAAATCACCCCCAGCCTCAGCCCCGTGTGCTGCTACAGCCGAGGACGTGGCCGTGGAGGGTCCCTGGTGCCAGTGCTCCTGTGCCACACCTCTGGCCAAGGCCTCTCAGCTGCCTCCATGGTGGGGGTCTGCCCTCCAGGTGGGGTCTGCCCTCCTGCTGCCCTCCCACTATGCCAGGGGGAACGGTGCCCTTGGCACCTGGGGATGTGTCCTGTGCTTTGACGCCCTCAGTCCTGCCCCACCCCTGCCAGTCCCCATTCCCTGCCACGGGCAGAGCCCCACCTCGGCGCCTGGCACGCACTGGGACGTGGCCCAGCCCCCCCCAAAATGTGTCTCCACGTGTCCCTGACCCCGCAGTGCCACCGTGGTGCCACCACGCTCTGCCCATCCTGGGTCCCCTCTCAGCTCTCTCCTAACTGCTCTCTTCTCTCTGCCCTGCGCAGCACTGGCGACCAGAGGTAGGTCCTTCCTCCCTCTTCCTCTCTGCCCCGCTGCGCTCTTCCTCTTTGCACGCCCTCCCTTCCCCTGGGGCTGCCACTGTGCTAGGCAGTGGGTCTGAGCCCTTCGTGGTGGGCGGGGGGTCTGACCCCTTCACGGTGGGTCTCTGCATGCCACAGTGATGCCAGAGTGATGCCAGAGTGATGCCAGAGTGATGCCAGAGTGATGCCAGAGTGATGCCGGCTCCATCCTGGCACAGGGGGAGCTGCTGCGTGTGTTTGGGGGCATCGTGGCACTTGGGGGGACACCAGCTGCACTTGGGGCTGCGTGTGAGCACCCGCTGCACTTAGGGGGGTCACCGGGCACCCACCCGGGGGTCAGCTGGCAGGGGTGGGGGGGTGCTCAGCTGCCCCCAGCCCCCCTGGCAGGGGTGGGGGGTGCTCAGCTGCCCCCCTGACGCCGTCGCTTTCCCCACAGGCGCAGCGCCACGTCAACGACCTGTACGAGGACCTGCGGGACGGGCACAACCTCATCTCGCTGCTGGAGGTGCTGTCGGGTGACACGCTGGTAGGTGCCACTCTGCCCTGCCCGCGCTGTCCCCCCCGGTCCCCGCCACCCGCCGGCACCCCTCCGCCGGCCGTCCTCGTCCTCGTCCTCACCCTCGCTGCCTGCCTCTGTTCCCTCTCTTCCTGCTTGGCCGTCGGTCTGTCCCGGTGAGCCCGGAGTGCCCGCGCCCCCCGCCCCCCGCCTCTAACCTCTCTTTGCTTTGGTGCCCTCTCTGCTTCCTGGCGCCGGCCCCCGGCCCACCGCCGCCTTTGCCTCCTCCTTCTCCTTCCTCTCTCTGCTCCTCTCCGCTCGGCTCGGCTCGGCTCGGCTCGGCCGGGGCAGCCCCGGGAGCGCGACGTCCTCCGGACCTTGCGGTTGGTGAGTGGTTCTGCCGTGGGCTCTCGGCGCGGCCCCGCACGGCGGCACCAGTGCCGTGCCAGCGGCACGGAGCGGTGCCCAGCGTGGCCCAGGACTGTCTGCATGCCACGTGCCGTGTGCCGTGCCTGTCCCGGTGCCGTCCCCGTGCTCTGCTGCATGCTTTGCCTGTCCTGGTGCCCCCTGATGCCCAGAGCTGTGCGGGTGGGTTTCCCTGGGCCAGAACTCAGCGGCAGCAGCAAGAGAGAAGTCACCTTGCACCAGCGGCATCCCTGGGAGTGATCCCACCACGCTGGGTGTCAGGCTGGAGCTTCACTCCGGCTCCTGGCACCACAGCAGGATGTGCTGGTGGCTGGCGAGGGGGGTGGCACGTGGCCACCAACTCTCACCCCAGGGCTGGCCCTGGCCCCGAGCGGCTGCTGGCCCATGTTGGCCCCTTTCTGCGGGACAGGAGTGACCGTGCTCCGCTGCTGAGTGGCACAGGGGCGTTCACGGGGTCCCCAGCTCTCCAGCTGGCCTCAGCTGGGGGAGCATCAGCGCTGCCGTGGGGCAGGAATGCGGGGGGCATCTGTTTGGGGAGGACCCAGGGGACCTCAGCTGAGACCCACAAGTTTGGGGGGGCTCACCCAGCTTGGCAGTTCCCGGTCCTGCTGAGGGGACGCTGGAGCCTGCTGGGGAGCTGCATGGCGGTGCACACACGGGCAGCGCCGCTGGCGCTGAGGCCAGTCCTGCCCGGGCGGTGGCTGCTGTGCCACTCGGGCACTGGGCTCCCCTCGGGACGGCTCCGATGGTCCCGGAGCTGCCGGGCGTGGCGTGGGAACAGCCTGTGCCGCCGGCTTGGCGGGGGGAGCATGGGGAGCGTCCCCACCCCCGCAGGGGCAAAGTGCGAGGGCGGGTGACATCGGCATGTGCGGCGCTGGGAGGGGCCGGGGGTGGGGGCGGCCGGGATGGCAGCACGGTGTGGTGGCATCGCGGCGGGGCCGGGGTAGGGTCGTGGCGTCACCGGGGGGGCTGCGGTGGCAGGACACAGCAGGGCTCTGTCCGGCGTGGCCGCACTCACCACCCTCCTCTCCCGCAGCCCCGGGAGAAGGGCCGGATGCGCTTCCACAAGCTGCAGAACGTCCAGATTGCCCTCAACTACCTGAAGCACCGGCAGGTGAGGATGGGGAGGGACCCCTGGGATGGCCGTAACCCCCGGGGCTGTGCCGGGCTGCCCCGTGCCTGAGCCGAGTGTGTCCTGTGCCGCAGGTGAAGCTGGTGAACATCCGGAACGATGACATCGCCGACGGCAACCCCAAACTTACCCTGGGGCTCATCTGGACCATCATCCTCCACTTCCAGGTGAGCCCGGCGGGGTGGGGAGGGGACAGTGGGACCGAGGGGCCAGGATTCCGTGGGGCTGGGGCCTTCCTGGGCTGGTCTGGTCCCCGGGGGGGCAGGAGTGGTGTCGCTGGCAGCTGCCATGCGGCGAGTGTCACTGTGGCGGTGGCCGTGCCAGTTCCCAGAGTGACAGCTGTGTCTTGGCAGATCTCAGACATCCAGGTGACGGGGCAGTCGGAGGACATGACAGCCAAGGAGAAGCTGCTGCTGTGGTCACAGCGGATGGTGGAGGATTACCAGGGTCTCCGCTGTGACAACTTCACCACCAGCTGGCGGGACGGGCGCCTCTTCAACGCCATCATCCACCGGCACAGGTGGGTGCCGTGGTGGTGCCGTGTGATCCATGGGCAGGCGTGTGCTCACCAGGGTGGCCATGCCAATCCCGTGTTCATGGGGCAGCTGTGCCTGTGCTCATGGGGCAGCTGTGCTGACCCTGTGCCCATGGGGCAGCTGATCCTGTGCCCATGGGGCAGCTGTGCTGAACCCGTGCCCAAGGGGCAGCTGATCCTGTGCCCATGGGGCAGCTGTGCTGACCCTGTGCCCATGGGGCAGCTGATCCTGTGCCCATGGGGCAGCTGACCCTGTGCCCATGGGGCAGCTGATCCTGTGCCCATGCTGCAGCCATGCTGATCCCATGCCCATGGGGCAGCTGTGCTGATCCTGTGTCCATGGGGCAGCAGTGCTGATCCTGTGCCCATGGGGCAGC